CCTAGAGCAGCAGCCTCAATGCCCGGGTCAGGCGGAAAACACCGGTAACAGTCACCCTCATCACTAATAGTCACAGCATACATGGCAGCAAGAATAGCATCATAATCAAGATCAAAGATCGCAACACCCGCCCTAAACAGCTCGCCCCAGCGAGGGATCTCAGTAGCGTCGGGGAACTGATGACGCCAAGCGTCCGTCAGGCGGCCGAAGCAGCGCTGGGTGGAGTGCGGACCCCCACACTGCTCACCCGCGCGGTCGCCGGTACGTAGAACGTAGGTACAGGGGCCAGCACCCCCACCCCGCTGACGAGCAGTGTACCACTCACGAAGCTGCTGGGGGGAAGGGGTCTCACGAGTGCGCTGCTGCTGCTGCTGCTGCTGGCGCTGACCACCACCAGAGCCGACCCTCTGCGTAGCGCCGCCCCGACCAGCTCCACCTGCGCCGCCGCTACCTCCACCACCGCCTCCACCTCCGCCACCTCCGCCCGCACCGCCACCACCGCCGCCTCCTCCGCCTCCACTGCCGCCACTAGCGCCCCCACCCCCGCCACTACTCCCACCGCCACCCCCACCCCCTCCGCCGCCTCCACCGCCGCCTCCACCGCCCCCGCCAGCTCCTCCAGCGCCCTTGCCCCCCTTGCCCCTGCCTGAGCGGCGTCTCCCGCTAGGGGCAGACGCCGCGCCGACCGACTCAAGACCAACGAGATCGGCCGCAGCAGCAGAGGCAACAGAGGGCAAGAGGGGGGAGGGGGAGCACCCCTCAAAGACAGGGGTACGAGGGTCACCATGAGAGGCTCCTACAGCGACTATACTCTTCTCTGCTACTAGGAGGCGCTCCTCGAGGAGGTCAACGGTGAGAGTGGTGGGGCAAACAGAGAGGAAGTGGTCCCTGACCGAGCGAAGGGTGTCAGGGAGCCGGGTGACTATGTAGTAGAGGGTGATGTACATAGGAGGGGGGTTCTTGGCGCAGAACTCAGTAGGAAGCACAGCGCGGTAGCGAATGTCACTAGTGCGAAGGTGTGTAATGAGGTCAGCGACTGTGGGAAAAGCGGCGAGGTCAGGGAAGAGGAACGGCAGTATGAGGCGGCTAAGAGCAGCAGTGGCAGGGGAAGAGTAGCGTGCAACTACATCGTCGTACAAGGTCTTAGCACTCTTGTACTGACTAAAATGCGCGCGCTCAGCGGTCGGTAAGTGGCGGCGCACAGCAAGGCGGGCAGCAGCATCGCGCGTGGCCCACTGTGAGCGAACAGTGGCGTCAGCATCAGCAGCAGGGGCAGGAGAGGCACCAGAAGTGAGGTCAAACAGGGAGAGACCGTCTGCCCTATCGCACTGTAGGAAAAGCTGTAAATCATCTACCCAGACCTCAAAGTCAACAGCCCGACCCTCAGCGTCAAAGGTGAGAACACTGGGGGTGGCCATGACAGCAGTAGACAGGCAGTGAGCACAGCGGGGTAGGGCAGTGCAGTGGCAGAGGCGTTGCTCTTACCAGGCAAGTGAGGCGGTCCGGGGCAGGCCGGCAGGGACAGGGCCGCTACTGCAGTGACGGCGGCGTCTCGGCTGCGGCGGCCCGGCGGCTAGGCTGCTCGGCGGCTCGGCGGCTCGGCGACAAAGGCGGCTCAGCGGCTCGGCGGCTCGGCGACAAAGGCGGCTCGGCGGCTCGGCGGCAAAGGCGGCTCGGCGGCTCAGCGGCTCGGCAGCAAAGGCGGCTCGGCGGGGCAGTGAAGGGCGGCGTCGCTGCCGCGAAGGAGCGGCGACGGGGCCGCTGAAGGGCGGCGACGAGGCCGCCGAAAGGGGGCGGCGACGAGGCCGCTGAAGGGCGGCGACGGGGCCGCTAAAGGGCGGCGACGAAGCCGCTAAGAGGCGGCGACGGGGCCGCTGAAAGGGCGGCGACGGGGCCGCTGAAGGGCGGCGACGAGGCCGCTAAGAGGCGGCGACGGGGCCGCTGAAAGGGCGGCGACGGGGCCGCTGAAAGGGCGGCGACGGGGCCGCTGAAAGGGCGGCGACGGGGCCGCTGAAAGGGCGGCGACGGGGCCGCCGAAAGGGCGGCGACGGGGCCGCCGAAAGGGCGGCGACGGGGCCGCTGAAAGGGCGGCGACGGGGCCGCCGAAAGGGCGGCGACGGGGCCGCTGAAAGGGCGGCGACGGGGCCGCTGAAAGGGCGGCGACGGGGCCGTCAAGGGCGGCAACGAGGCCGGCAGAGGCGGCGACGGGGCCGCTAAGGGCGGCGCGACGGGCCGCTAAGGAGGGCGCGACGGGGCCGCTAAGGAGGGCGCGACGGGGCCGCCGCTAAAGAGGGCGCGACGGGCCGCTAAGGGCAGAACACTAGGCGCGCTTCGGGCAGGGGACAACGCGCGCCCCGGGCAGGAAAAAAAAAAACTCGATCTTGGTGGGCCCTAGGATAGTTCCCACTAGGGAACCTGCTCGATACCATGAGAAACTTAGAACGAGAATGGGTTGACTAAGGAATGAAAGTGATACAAATATGAAACCCTAGAATTGTGTACCCCTTAGTATCTAACCCGCTACAGCCTACACAGGCTATATCATATAAGTTTGACACAAGCTGCCTTCTCGGCCCTCAAAAACATTTTGTGCTCACCGCCCGTGCTTCACATCGCAGATCCACACCGTCCGTTCGAGCTCGTCACTGACGCAAGTGACATCGCTGTGGGAGCAGTACTGTTGCAGGATTTCGGGAACGGCCTCCAGCCAATCGCGTACGAGTCCCGCAAGATGCACCCGCCCGAACGCAACTACCCGATACACGACCGCGAAATGTTGGCGATCGTGCACGCGTTCAAGGTCTGGCGGTGTTACCTGACTGGCGCCGACGTGACAGTACGGACAGACCACCGATCACTACAGTACCTACGCGCCCAACCAAATCTCAACCCGCGACAGATTCGCTGGTTGGACTACCTTGAGTCCAACTTCCACTACACGGTTACGTACAAGAAAGGCGCCTCCAACATCGCCGACGCACTCACTCGCCCCACCGCCCAACTCCATGCCATCCTACTCGCCCAAACCAACCCGCTTTTAACAGGCCTATTCACCCACGGATACCGCACAGGCCCGTTTTTCACGACCGGAAATTCACAGCAACTGGCAGAAGCTAAAGGAGTTTTTTTACGTAAAAACAGGCACCAACCGCATCTGGGTACCCGCGTACTCACTACTGAGGGAGCTGCTACTGCAGGAGGCACACGGCGGAATTACCTCGGGACATTTTGGGGTAGAAAAAACGCGACAGCAACTGCAGCGGTATTACTACTGGCCGGAGCTGTTGACCGACGTGCAGCAGCACGTGGGCTCGTGCCCCACGTGTCAGGTGATGAAGAGCTCGAGGAAGCGGAAGGCGGGTCAATTGCAGCCGATACCACCGCCCGAGCGCGCCTGGCAGCAGGTTACCATGGACTTTGTCACAGGGTTACCTTCGAACCCTGGGGGTAACGACGCGGTGATGGTCGTCGTTGACAGGTTGACGAAGATGGCACACTTCGCTGCGTGCAAAAAGTCGATCTCAGCCGAGGAAACCGCTCGTCTGTTCATCGCAGCCGTTGTTCGCATGCACGGTATACCAGCAGCGATTATCAGCGACAGGGACACGAAGTTCACCAGCAACTTCTGGAAGAACCTCTGGGAGCAGTTCGGGACCAGGCTACAGTTCAGTTCGTCGTACCACCCCGAGACCGACGGTCACACGGAGCGGACGAATCAGACGATGGAGCAGTTGATTCGTGCCACGTGCGACGACCCCACAGCTTGGGAGCAGCAGCTGCCGCTGATCGAGTTCGCGTACAACAACGCCACGTCAGCGACTACGCAGTAGTCCCCCTTCTACCTGAACTACGGGCAAAACCCTACAGTGCCCATGACGCCGAGTCCGGACAACCCAACACCACGCGCACAGCAATTCGCCGAAATTCTGCAAGCTGCCCGCACCAGAGCCGCAGAAGCAATTAAAAAAGCAAACGTCATCGCTAAGCGCAACGCCGACCGCCACCGCCACCCAGTCACGTACCAGTCAGGGGATTACGTACTGCTCGACACGCAAAATCTGCGACTGCCCGACGTACCGAAACTTCGACCGCGCTACTGTGGCCCATTCCAAATCAGCCACATGATCACGCCAGTAACCGCGCACCTACTGTTACCGACCGACTGGTACATCAGCCCTTCGTTCCACGTCAGCTTGCTTCGCCCATACATCCCAACCACAAGCCAATTGCCTCGCCACCGCCCGCCATCCATGACTCGCCCTGCATCGGAGCCGATCATCGAGCCCGAAAAAATCCTGAGCCATCGGATCCGACAACCCACGGGAATCAGGAGGATTGAATTCCTCGTTCGCTGGAAGGACCGCACGCCAACTGAAGATAGCTGGGTGCCCCTGACCAACATTGAAAACCACCCTGCCCTGCAAGTGTACCTGAGGAGCCGGGGATTCCGCGATATACACGCACTCGCGTAGCGGAGGGGGCTTCTTGAGGGGGGGGGGGTAGTGTAAGGAATTTTCTCGGCATTCCTTACGGAGCCCGACTACATCGCGTACAGCAACAGCCGTTGTTCGCCTGTTACTGCTAACGGGACTTCGCCAACTTCGCGCGCACTGTTTTGCCAAACCTCGCACTGCTGGCCCGGCCGTGTCGGCCTACGCTTCGGGACTAGCCCGAGCCTCGCTGCCAGCATAGCACTAGCCAGGCCCTCAGATTCACTTTGAGGCACGTAAGGGTATCAGGGTCCCTCTGGCCCTAGACCCTGATCGACAGGGTCGCCTAGGAAAAAAGCCTGAAAGTTCAGTGTTACTTAAAAAAAAAGTCTGATGCATCAGTGTCACCTATAGAAAAGGCTGATAGTAGTGAAGCTGATTTTTTAACTTAAAACTCTATGAAGGTCGCAAACAACCTTCAATCTATCTATCTGTGTTGTAAACCAAAGCCTATCTTGCTTGCTAGCTAGCTATGCATTGCATCCAGCATGACTCTGGGTCTGGGTGAGTTCAGTAATCATCATCTGATGAGGCCTGCTTGTCATCATCATCTTCTCTTCCCTTACCCTGTCGTTCTGCCCACTCTTCCTCCTCTAGGGCCTCCTTTCCCGTGCTATCCCTGCCCTCTCCCTCTCTTTCGGGTGGTGCCGCCACATTGCCGAATGGGCGGCGCTTCTTGTAGCTGCGCCAGATGTGCACCACCTCATCGTAGTTGGGGTCGTACTCGAGTAGAGACATGGTGACGAGGTCTTCGAGGCGGGCGTCCTTCAAGCTCCCCCGCTTCCACGATTTGATAACGTTTTGGCGTGAGAAGCCGCGCTCACACTCCACTGTGCTCAGCGGCAGCACGGCGACAGCCACCCAGAGACGCACCAGATTAGGGTAGCCAGTCGCCCAGTCGCTTGTCTTCAGCATTGCTGTTAGGCCTGCGTGGAAGCTCCGCTCGTTCTTTGGGGCACCTGCGAGGATGGGGCAGAAGGCCCGCAGCTCCTTGATCGCACGCCGCTTGTCGACCCCTGCCACATAATGCGGAAGGGAGAGAGAGAGGGGGTTTTTGAAAGGCTGGCAAGTGCGTACACCATACGTTGATGAAATGCAATGACACAATAAGACGGACAGCAACAGTGCGAGAGCGGGAATACCTGGAATGATGTAGTCCGTGTCCTGTGCCCTGAACAGCCTCACGAGAGACTCAAGCCACTCGAGACACTGCCTGTGGCGCTCTGCTCTCCCCAGCTCCCACTCGTCAGGCATGAACAGCCGCACTCCCACCAGGGAGTCCAGGTCCTGGAACCGTGTGCTGAGGTTTTGCACGAGCGTCTCGGCGAAGGTGGTGCAGAGATCGACGCAGGCGTCGTGGGAGCCGAGGGTCGGGTAGTCTTCGCTCGGCTTCTCGTGCAGCTCGAAGGTGTGTGTCGTGGGCCGCCCGTCCGAGTCGACTCCCTGCACCTTCACCTCGGGATTGCCCCCCTCAGGCCCGTGCTTCTTGATGAACGGGGAGAGGCGCGCGCTCACCCCGCCTCCAAAGTCGTCACCACAGTCGACGTAGCGGGACTCTAGGAATGAAATCGACCGGCGGATCTGCCCGTGGACACTTGCAATGTCCAGCTGTTAGGGGTCAACAGGGCGAACAGAGGATGGAGAGAAGGCCAAATCAGTGCAAAGCAGATTCTGCTTAAGCAGTACATCAAACAGTGACTCACAAACCGAAACAAGGCACACAATCCAGCAACGATAGTAACCAAGCTCACCTCACGCTGCTGGAATGCCCTGTTCAGCACATTGAGCTGCTCGAGGACGTCTGCAAGGAAGTATAGCAGAAAGTGAAACCTGTAGCTCGTGGCGAGCTCGTAGAGGGTGATGTCCCACTCATACAGCATCACGATCAGCGCGGGGAAGACCTCTACCGCGCGCAGAATGGCGTCACCGCGGGAGAGCCAGCGGACGTCGTGGATCCCTTGTAGCTCCAGGTTTGTTTTCGTGAACACCTCCTGCAAGCCAATGAAGCGTTGATGCCACGGGCCAGAACGCCCCAAATGCTCTGCCACTTGGCGGAGCAGGGAGTCCACCATGCCGAACTCGGGGAGTTGTTCAGCGGCGTCCTTTGCTGCGAGGGCCTCCCTGCATGCACACCAGCATTAAAACCGGCTCAAGGAGGGGTTAGCAGGGGATGCAGCAGGGACTGTATGGAAGCAGTAAACAGAAGATGAAAACTGACCTGTGGGCGATGCAGTGGCTCGAAACAAGATGCGGGATGCGGAGGCGAAGTCGAGCGACAAGGCCGTTGTGTTTCCCCATCATCACACTCGCTCCGTCAGTGCTTATGCCGGATATCCTCGCCATTTCAATGCCTAGGGCCTGCAGGTGGGACAAGAGCACTGAGAGGAGAGAGGCTGCATCGCCCTTCTCCACGGTCAGCAGGGCAAGGAACTCAGTCACGGGACGATTTTCACGGATGAATGTCGCGAAAACAATCATATGCTTTCCCCGACACCTGTCCGTGCTTTCGTCGCACGTGACGCCAATGTATGGGCTGCTGAGGATGTGCTGCAGTTGCGTTGTGTGCAACCATGTGGCCATCGACTGTGTCAGCTGCCCGAAGCCGTAGCTGCAGCGCATGTCAAACAACACAACGTCAGATAATTCGGTTGAGTTTCACAAACACGGTTGCAGTTAGATTAATTTAACACTCACGTAGTATAATAGGTTCCGTAGCCTTTTGCTGGGAACCCGGGCACCTTGAGTCGCGCGAGGTAGCGCACAAGATTCACCCATAACTCTATGGGTGCATCTTGCTTGGTCACGAAGAGCAGGGAGTCGAGGAGCTTGACGACCCGCTCCTTCTCCGTGTCGCGAGCGAGATTGTCGCCGTTGATCCGTGGCTGCGTAGCGGCGTCGTCGAGAAGCTTCTGCTGGTGTTTCAACGCCTCCTTGTGCTTGGTAGTTGCCGCATGCCGTTTGAACGCCTGCGTCTGAACGTCTGTGGCGCCCTTTCCGCCTCTCCCACACGGTCCAGCGTAGCCTGCGTGCTCCGTACAGATGCTGCACTTGAAAGCGGGGAAACCTTCAGCTTTTTTTAGCAGAATAAGCCAAGAAAACCGCTCGAGCCACTCGCTTTTGTACTTATACAGAGCCTCCGCGTAGGTTGCGTCTGGCCCTGCCGGTTTAGAAGGCCCAGGTGTTGAGGGCGACGCCTGCGTGCCTGCGGTCGCGGGCGTCGACAGTTGGTCGGCTGGCGAAGCCGGTGTTGCACCAGCGGGACCTCCCTTCTTGGGCCACGGCAGCGTTGACTGCGTGTACCTGGCGGACTTCTTAGCCACTGGCACCGCCGCGATTTCTTGCTCCAACACGGGCGCAGTAGGGGAGGGACACAGAGGCTCGTCGATGGGTTCAAATGGAACATCGACGGTCGGCGCGACTGCAGGCGCCTTTCCATGGTTATCTACTAGCGCTAAGTTGGAGAATAGCAGATCCAGCCCGGTAACGGCCGCGGACAGATCAATTGGCGAACGACGAGCGAGTTCATCGCCGGGGTCATCAGGTCGTTCAATGGCGTCCGGGTGGTCCGCCATTGATTGCGCTGTGAACAAGCAGCATCTAACGGGACTCCCTAGCTAGCTGAACGATGGAGGTTTGCCAGGAAGAGAGGACACACGGCTGACTGCCTCTTGGTACACCAGGCAGCAACGCGATGAAACCTTACACATGCTAGATGGAAGGAAAGCATGGAGCAGACTGGGGTGGGAGACTGGATGGCTGGCAGCACGGCTGGGCGGCGTGGATGCATCCGTGCTTGCCAGCACGACTTAGACAAAACGGGCCAGAGGACCACAGATGCTTCACATGGGCCTGAATCCCTCGTTGCGCTGCCTGCCAGCATCGCTGTGCTGCAACCCTGTAATTGGCCAAATCAGGAAATGCTGTCAAAGTGGCCAATCATCGCACCACGCGCGCCAACAACGCATCCCTCTACGAGGCAAATTTGTCTGCTACTCACCGCCGCGCCCTGCTGACACCGCGGGAATCTGATATTCCCTGTACAGCCGGGCAACTACACACGAACCGTGTAGGAATCGCTTTCAGGGTCGGATTCGTTACAACGTAGTGGAATCAGTGTCACTAAAATTTTTTGCTGAAAGTTCAGAGTCATGTGCTAGGTGAAGGCTGAAAAATCAGCCCCACAAAAAGCTGAACACTGGAAAATCAGTGTAGGTTAAAAAAAAACCCTGGAAATCAGGAATTTCAGGGAAAAATTCCTGATATCGTAGGGCCTGGCACTAGCTAGCTCGCACGCACCGCGTTACCGTTTGCATGTTTCGCGTATAAATGTTCGCTCATGCCTTTGCTCACATCTTTGTACTCGTTTGACACCTTAGTGCAATTCTCGCTACTTCGATTCATTGCACCCGTAACACGAACCCAATCACGATTTGCAATGTGCATCCGTACCTCCCCAACCAATTCTCCCCAGCTGCCCTTTCTGCTCATTTCGGATCGCAGATTCATTTCTGTCCTGTTTCCCTTGGGCTCTGCTAACGCTTTTGCCATCTTCGGGCCTTTGCGATAATACCTATTTGACTGAAACAACCCGTGTAGAATAAATCTTGACGGAATATGCCTGCTGTCTCAGCCACCACCTCATCTACCTAGTCTACCTTGGTGCACACTGCTTGCAGAGCACGAACCGGGGCGATATCCGTGATTCAAGTTGGCCTTAGGGTTACCATAACCCTGAGTTGGCAAATATCACTTTGTGAAGATTTCTGCGTGGGGACTCAGTGGCTACCATGAATCAACAATATGGCCAGTTTAAGAAGGAAATAGAAAATCAGAGTACCGATTATGGCGACGGGTGGAGCACGGATGAGGACGAGCCGTCCGTGTTCCGCCCCAATGCCATCGCGTTTCCCACCCACACAGCTGACATTCGCGGCGCGCAGGAGCATCTCAGCGCGGTGCACCATCATAGTTTCGTCGCAGCTCCTGAGAGTTACGGCGACAGGCAGGTGCGTAAGGGACACCGCATGCACTCCGGTTCAGTGCGATGCACTGCCGCCCGCTTCTTCTGCTGGGAGAATCCACCCCGAATCTTTCACATTGCCACAACCAATCATGGTGTCTGCGCCGACGACGGCGTCAGTTCCAGTTACAGCGTCAGCACCACTCACGGCGCCATGGCCGGCATAAAGAGATGCCCTCCCGTCAGCACCGCAGCTGGAGTGGGGTGTGCGAGGAATCTTGCCTCCCTTGCGTCCAATAAATGAAAATACCAACGGATCACAAAGCGCTCAGAGCGTGGGAAAGTAGTTCAACATGTAAACGAAGGAGAATGAGAGATGGCATGGAGTTGAGAGATTTTTACATGCTCTCCCTGAGGGGAGGGAGATGTGGGATGGGTGGTACGTGACATGGGTGGTATATGACATGGGGTGTGTGGCATGGGGTGTGTGGCATGGGGTGTGTGGATGGGGTGTGTGGGATGGGGTGTGTGGCATGGGGTGTGTGGGATGGGGTGTGTGGCATGTGGCGTGTGGGATGGGGTGTGTGGCATGGGGTGTGTAGGATGGGGTGTGTGGGATGGGGTGTGTGGGATGGTGTGGGGCGTTATATGGCATGAATGGTATGTGGGATGGGGTGGGGCGTTATGTGACATGGTTTGTATGTGACATGGGGTGGGGTGTGTAAGGGTGGTGTGTGCCATGGGGTGGGGTGTGTAAGGGTGGTGTGTGCCATGGGGTGGGGTGTTATAGGGTGGTGTGTGCCATGGGGTGGGGTGTGATAAGGGTGGTGTGTGCCATGGGGTGGGCTGTGATAAGGGTGGTGTGTGCCATGGGGTGGGGTGTGTAAGGGTGGTGTGTGCCATGGGGTGGGGTGTGTAAGGGTGGTGTGTGCCATGGGGTGGGGTGTGATAAGGGTGGTGTGTGCCATGGGGTGGGGTGTGATAAGGGTGGTGTGTGCCATGGGGTGGGGTGTGATAAGGGTGGTGTGTGCCATGGCAAGGCGTGTCTCCCACATATTGTTCAAGGATATTTCAATCCCGTCGTTGACGTAAACGCGAATGCGAGGAAGGTCACAACGGGTGGAAGGAACGACTGAACTCGCCAAGCATTCCCAATCCAAAGAAGCGCAAGTCCAATATGCCGACTGCCAAGGTGGTGATTAGACCGGGAAAAGAGTCGGACTTTTGGTGTTGCTTTTGAGATATCTCAGAAGCAACACCACCATGTGCCGACTGCCATGGTGGTAATTGAACCAGAAAAAGAGAGTCGGACTGCCGGCTGGCTGACATTCCTTCCAACTCTCCAACTCCACCTCCCTTCCCTCCCTCTCTGCCTGCAGGCCCTCCTCACCGCTTCTCTGCTCCCTCACTCTCTCGCCGCCTCAACACCCCTCCCCTGGCAATTATTGCACACACCCCACATTCCCTCCCTGCCTGCTCCAATTGCTCCTCCTCCTCCTGCTGCTGCTGCCGTGGCACCCTCCCCTTCGCCCTCTGGCCATTCATCCGTGCCCCCCGTCCACCATATACCAGCCCCTCCTCCCACCCTCCTTGCCGCACCTGCACCCGCTTCCCACCCTATCCCCACCCGCGTCCCCACCCCTCCTCTGCTCTCCGTGCAAGGCCCCCACCTTCCCCAGCTAGCCCATGCACCACCACACGCCATCCCATGCCGCCCCACGCTGCCATCACCGCATGGAGCAACCCTCAAGGAGCCACACTTGGCAGCATCACCACAGCATCCCCCTCATAGCGTCGTCCACCTTCCCTCCGCCTCTGCTCCTGCTACTGCTGCTGCCGCTGTCCCGATGGCCCCTCCACCCCCACCACCTGTCCGCGTCTCACCCTTGCCTCAGACTGACCTGCCTGCTGCCTCTGCACTCCCACCTGCTCGCTTGCAGCAGCAAGCAGACGGAGAGAGGCACATGCACTCCCTGCCACCCACTGCCCTCCCAACCACCCACGCACGAACTGCCACTGCAGCCTCTGCTGCCGCTGCCTCAGCTGCAGTCGCTGCTCCCACGCACACATACACGACTGGGCGCAAGTCATTCCCCCCATCCCTCTTCCTCCCCCGCACTGACCCACTTGATGCCTCCGCTCTCCCCTCCCCCACTCCGCCCTCCTCCACTAGACGCACCGCTTTCCCCCCGCAGCAACCACCGTCCACCCATCTTTCCCCGGCTGGGGATCAACCGCCTCTCAGCAGCCCCTTACAACCCCCTCCTGCCAAAGCCCACTCCACTGCTGCTCCCCACCTGCAATTCCCCCCAGGCTTCCCTTCCCCAGTAGAACCCTCATCGCTCACCCCCAAGCCGTCCCCCGTGCCCCTGCTGCCACCACCACCCCTTGCATTCCCACGCCCCCTTACAGTCAGATCTACTACGCCTTTCCCTTCGCCTTTCCCCCCGCCCATTGCCCCTGCTCTGCCCTTCCTTGCCGCTCGCCTGCCCCTCCCTTTTGGCCCGTTCCTCCGCCCACCCATCCCCGCCGCTGCCCTCTCTCTCCCCATTGGCCTCTCTTCTCGCCTCCCCCTTGCCTCCCTCTCTTCGCCCACTGCTGCCGCCGCTGCCGTTGCTGCTGCGGCTTCCGTTCCTGCTGCTGCTGCCGATGGTAGTAACGCAGGTGTTGCTGCTGTTGCTGGTGGTGCTGGGGGTGACAGTGGTGCCAGTGTGGGGATGGGGAGAGGGAAAGAGGAAGAGAGGGATGAACAGAGTCTGGGGAAACTGAGGAAGGAAGGCGAAGCGGATGAATCAGCTAGAGCAAATGACAGGAAAGGGGAGGAGCACAAGGCATCGGAGGATGGGAAGAAAGCAGGGGGGCGAGATGAGGTAAAGCGCGAGGAAAGGGAGGAATCTGCACCAATGAGTGCTGCTGATTCAAGCAAGCCAGAGGTAGTTGCTGATGGTGATGCGGAGGCCGAGATGGGCAGGCAGGGGGAGTCTGAGACAGCACATGGTGCTTGTGCGGAGGGCAGGGGTGTGATAAGCGGGGTGAGTGGAGGAGAAGGGCCGAGGAAGGAAGAAGGGTGCGATGGGCATGCCACAGAAGCTGTTGCAAGTGAACCAACGCACCTCCAGTCATCAGAGCCGTGCTCAGAGTCTCTCTGTGATGAAGAGTTGGACATTGCACTGCCTCACCCGGGCATACTCGCCACGAGCTCCCACCCTGAAGCTGCGAGTGCAACCCACACTCTTTCTCCCCCGGCTGCTCTGGGGGTGGAGTTGGTGCGTATGAAGGCAGAGGGTGCAGGTGGCACGGCAGGTGGTGTGGGTGGCATTGCCGAGGCTGCATGTGGGGCAGCAAGGGGGGTTGATGCGCGTGTAGGAGAGCCTGGTGATGCGCCCCTGCGGCGGCTAGACTTGGACCCAAGGCGCAGAGAGGTGGGTGCTGAGGGGGACTTGGAGGTTGTTGTTGGTGCGGGCGGAGTGGGAGGGAAGGGAGGGGGAGAGGAGGAAGAGGAGATGAAAGGAGAGGAGGGAGGACGTGAGAGCGAGCAGCAGCAGGAGGAGGAGCGGGAAGGGGAGAAGGAGGGGGAGAAGGAAGGGGGGGAGCAGCAAGAGCAGCAGTTGGAGAAGCAGGAGGTGGAGCAAGGGGAGCAGGAGGGAGAGGAGCAGCAGGAGCAGCAAGGGGAAGGTGAGGGTGGAGGGGGGGTGTCAGCATGTGCCTCTGTTGCTCTTGCTGCAGCTCTGCTCGCGCCCCCTGCCCCCCACCACGCCCCTGTGCACAGCAGCCGCATCTACACGCGCCGCCGCGCCCGCTCTGGCGCCCGCAGCACTGCTGACCGCTGCAGCACCTGGGGTCGCGGGGGCGCTGACCACACAGGTGCAGCGGGGGAAGCAGGGGCAGGTGGGGGAAAAGGGGACGGGGGAGAAGCAGGGGAGGGTTGCAAGGAGGGGGAGGAGGAAGCTGGGCAAGGGGACGGGGAGGATGGGGGTGGGGAAGGGGAGGAAGGGCACAGCAGCAGCTCTGGGGATGATGAGGAGGGCATGGGGCGAGGGGCAAGCGGTGACGGGGGAAAGGGAGCACGGGGGAGGGGAAAGGGAGGAAAGGGAGGGGCAGTGAAGCTTGATGCGGTGAGAGAGAGGCTGGTGGGGCGGGTGGCCAAGGGTAGAAGGCGAGGCAAGGGGGGAGGGGCAGCAGGGGCGTTGGGGCAGCAGCTGGCAGTGCGGGCAGCGATAGCAGAGCGGGCGGCAGGCAGGCGCAACATGGAGTTTGGCGCGGAAGTGAGTGTGGAGGGCACGGGCGTGGGGGGAGGGAGAAGCAGAACCCTGGCGGAGCTGGTTGTAGGGCGGGGGAGGGGGGGTGCGCGGGGGAAAGGTAGGGGGGGGAAGAAGGGGGACGGACGGGGGAGGGGGAAAGGAGATGAGGATGGGGATAGGGAGGGGGAGGGGGAGGTGCGGGTGCTATGGCTGGTGGACTCCAGTGTGGCTCCCCGCCCCATGGGGGAGGGGGAGGGGGAAGACGAGGGGGAGGAGGGGGGGGGAAGGGGAGGATCAGGTAGGGGCAGTAAGGGCGAAAGGGATGAAGGGCAGTGGGAGGAAGAGAAAGCGTGTTGGTGACGGGGAGGAGGTGGGAGAAGAGAGTGGAGGGGAGGAAGGGGGAAAGGGGGATGAAGAGGGTGCGGGTGACGGCAAGACGAAGGCTGGAGGGCAGGGGGAGGAGGACGGCGAAGGGGACGGGGAAGGAGGTGTATCAGGTGGAGAAAATGCGGGGGAGAAAGCAGTAGGGGGAGGGGAGGAGGGAGGGAGTGTGAGTGTGAGCCCAAGCGAGTGGAGGGGGGCGAAGCGGCGGCGGTGGCAGCCGGTGGTGTCACGGGGAGGAGATGGCGTGGTGGAGGTGCGCTTTCGACAGCTGCTGCCCGGCACCTCCTCTGCTCCCTCTGCTCTGAACCCTACCCCACCTCCTCCTGCTGCTGTGGCTTCTGCTGATGATGCACCTGCTACGGGTGCTGATGGTGTCTCGGCTGATGCTGCTGCTACTGGTGGTGTAGATACTGGCGCCACTGCTAGCCATGCTGCTGATACTGATGCGGCTGCTGCTGATGTTGCTTTCACTGATGAACCTGCTGTTGGTGTTGCTAATACTAGTGCTGCTGCTTCTGGTCGTACTGATATTGATGCTGCTGCCACTGCCGACGTTAGCAGGGATGATGCTACCAATACTGATGGTAGTGCTGCCAGTGCCCCTGCTGCCCCTCCAACTCTGTGTGACACAATGCTTCCCAGGGAAGGAGAGGGTGACGTAGCAAAGGAGCAGGGCGAGGAGGGAGAGGAGAAGGGAGAGAAAAGGGGAAAGGGTCAAGGGGAGAAAGGGGAAGGGGAAGGGGAGGACGGAGCAGGTAGTGGAGAAAAGAGAGGAGGGCGTGAGGGCGAGGGTGAAAAGAGTGAAGGTGAGGTGGGAGAAGAGGGGAAGGAGAGAAGGGAAGAGAGGAAGGGAGAAAGTGAGGTGGGGATGAAGGGGGCTGCTGACAGGGAGATGCCACACAGTACAGCTGCTTCTGCACCCGCCCTTCTCACTGCAGCGAAAGGTGCGAGCTCTGCTGCTGCTGCTTCTGTCGCCACAGCAGCAGCAGCTCATGCGCTTTTGTCTCATGGCAACATGGCAACTTCTTCGCATGCATCAGCACCGCACGAGTCAGAAGCAGCAGCACCGAGGGAAGGTCCCGCATCAGGTGAAGCAGCAGCGGCACCATCCCCTGAGGCAGCACCAATGGCAGAAGACACAGCAGCAGCCACGGCAGCAGAAGACACAGCAGCAGCCACGACAGCAGCAGCAGCCTCCTGTCATCCACAAAATGTTGCCTGTGCCCCTCCCTCTCCTGCTTTTGCCCTCCCTGCTGCTGCTCCTGCGGTTGCTACCCCTGGTGCTGCCACCCCTGCCAGTGGCATCCCTGCTGCTGCTCTGGTGACTGCAGCAGTGAGTCGGGACGGTGGAAGAGGGAACGGTGCGAGTTGGGGTGGCGGGAGTGAGGATGGGGCTGTGGGAGCCCGTGGTGTGAAGAGGAAGGCGGGTGGGGGTGAGGAGGGAGAGGGGAGTGCAGGGCATGCGGGAGGAGCAGGGAAAGGGTCAGGGAAGAGCATGCGTGTGGGGGGGGAGGTGCTAGTGGGGCAAGGAGGAGGTCACAATGGGGCCTGTGGGGATAGTGGGGCGGGAGGGGGTAGTGGGGCAGGTGGGGAGAAACGGGAGCAGGCAGGATTTGAAGAAGGTGGTGAGATGGGTGTTGGAGGAGCGGAGAAGCAAGTGTGCGGAGAGCAAGGCGAGAACGCCGGTGCGGTGGGAAGTGGTGGCGATGACATAAAGATGGGCGGCGTTTTCTCAGAAGACACGCTTGATGCGAGTGGGAGGGAGGGGGTGAGAGAAGGTGGGGGGACAGCGGTGGAGGGAGTAAAGGAAGCAGCAAAGGAGGGTGGGAAAGTGCAGAGTGAGGCAGAGAGGCGGGCACTGGAGCTGCTAGCAAGGCGTGGACTGGGGGAGGCGGATCTGAAGGCGCTGGGGGAGATGAGACTGGGCGTGGGGGGCAGGCGGGGGCGAGGCAGAGCCAGAGGGGGGAGCAGAGGCGGTGGGGGGATGGGGAGGGGCGGTGGGCGGGGGGCGAGGGAGGGGGGAGGTGGCAGGGAGCAAGGCGAAGGGAAGGTGGCAGTGCCTGCTTCTCGTAGTGATGCTGCTGCTGCTGTCGTTGCTGCTGTTACTGCTGCTACTGGCGGACCTGCCGGTGCTGTTACTGTTGGTGGTGCTGCGGGTGGCAGTGGAGGCGAGTTTGAGCTGTTGCTGCGTCTGCCAGACGACATGCGGCCACAGGTGCCAGTCAACCTGCACAGCCGCGTCCCCACACCCATCCGCCAGGTATGCCCCTCCGCCAGGTGCGCTGCGCCCATTCGCCAGGCTGCAGTGCAGCCCAATGCGTAGCTGGTGCTTGCTTCACCCTAGCCGCTGGTGCCCTTTGCGTTCACATCGTTGTCCTTCACACCATTCGTTGAAGCCACAACGGCCTTCCCCTCTCTTTACCACCTCTAACCCACATCTTCCCCTCATTCCCTCCCTTCTTCCCCCGTCCTACCCCATCACCACCGTCACCACCGTCACCTCCGCAGAGGCATGTGAGCCTGTGGGTGAATCACCACCTGCGGGCCGTTCCAGCAAGTACCATCGGGCGCAACGACGAGACGTGGGCAGCGATAGCAGCGGGGGTGGCAGCAGAGAGGGCGCTCTTCACCCAGGCAGCCAACAAGCGCGCCTACCTCTCCCTCTCTGCCCGCGCCCTCGCTGCCGCTCCCACCAACCTCAACTCTCCGTTTCCCTCCTCCATTCTCGCCGCTGCTCCCGCTGTTGCTTCTGTGGGTTCTTCAGCCGGAGCTGCATCGTCCCCATCCAAAGCTGCAGGTTCGGCAGCTAGCTTTGTGGATGAGGCTAGGCCGATTTCCATAGCTGATGCGTTGGCTCGGGCATCGGTGGCTCGGGCCCTCCGAGCCACAGGCTTGGATGGGCCGTCACCTCCGGGATCTCCTCTGAGAGAGGATGCAGGACAGGATGGGGGGAAGCAGGGGGACGGAGGCAGTAGTGCGAGCCCTGTGGTGCCATCGCAACCTGCTGCTGCCGTGCACACAGGCAGGAGGCGTGACAATGTGGAGTGTGATTCTAAAGTGGGTATAGGAAAGGGTGAAGGGGCTAAGGGCAGCGTGCAGGGAGAGCAGCAAGGAGGGGGGGCAGAGATACGGAGAGCAGCAGGCAAGAGTACCGGCGCAGCAGTGGGCGATGGTGGTCAGAAGAGCGAGCAGGGCGAGCAGGGGCGGGTGGAAGGCGCATGGCAGGGGGGACAGGAGGGGCTGGGGGAGAGGAGGCAAGTGGGGGGCGGGGCGAGTGTTGAAGCGATGGTCGAGGCAGTGCCAGCCCCTGGAGGAGGGGAGGGCGATGCAGGGGAGGTGCTGGATGGGGACTGTGGGGCCAGTGCAGGTGTATGTGGGGGAGGTGGGACCCTCGGCAGTGATCGGAGCGAGGGGCGTGGCGAGAAGGCCTTTCCTGTGGGGCAATTGGGAACAGTAGCTGCTCACACGTCTGCTCCTCCTCTTGCTGCCACTGCTTCTGCTGTTGCTGTTTCTGCGGCTGCCGGTGGTGCGGGTGGGAGTGGCAGTGAGGGGGCAGGAAGGGGTGTGGTGGGCGAGGGGGGAGGCGGGCCGAGCAGCAGCGCCGCACTGCCAGCTGGCAGCACCGCCATGCCAGCTGGCAGCACTGCTGAGTCAGCCCAGCAGGGACACGGGAGGAAAGACCCCGTTTTAAACCAGGTACATCCCTGCCCCTTCTCCTTCTCGCCATCACCCCTTTCCCCACGCTCCCCCACCCCTTTCCTCGTTTCCTTTCTTCAATCCCCACCCCTCTCTCGGCTCTTCTTCATGACTGCATGCCCACCTTGTCCTGCCATCCACATGCCATCCATCCACATGCCTGCCACCTTGTCCTGCCATCCACATGCGTGCCTCACATCTGCCCTCCCCCCACCCCTTCCCGAGTAAAAGAAGAGAGCATACGTGGAGCCTAACTGAGATGCATTACCCTGCCTGTTCCCCATGTGAGCAGGTGGAGGTGTTTATCCGCGAGCATCTGCGCCCCTTGGAGCGCAGCGGAGTGATAAGTGCAGAGCAGCGGCGCTGGGTAGCGAGCAAGGCGGCGGGGAAGGTGATGGAGCGGCACGGGGGGGCGCGGTCAGCCGCCTTCCTCGTGAAGGAGGGCGAGGACGTGCGGCGCCTGGCAGAGCGCTACCTGCGCACCTACCACGTGCGCTTTTCTAATGGGGGAACCGCACCCACATCCTCCTCCTCCTCCCCACCGGCTGGCTGACCTGGTGAAGGTGATCAATGGGACGTGCGGCGCCTGGCAGAGCGCTACTTGCGCACCTACCACGTGCGCTTCTCCACCAGCAACAAGGGCAATGCGCCCCTGCCCTCGTCCTCCTCCTCCCCGCCGGCTGGCTGACCCCCGCTGCCACGTCCACCCACCCGGTGCGGTGCATTCATACGACGTGCGGCGCTTGGCACGGCACTACCTGCACACGTGATTGATAGCACGTGCGCTTCTCCAAGCCCCCCCCGCACCCTCCTCCTCCCCACAGGCCGGCTGGGGGTTAAGAGGCTGAGCGTTGGAGACGGTGCTGCATGCGGCTGGCTTGTGATGGGAGGTTGAGAGTGTGGAGGGGGGCAATGCGATGATGGCTGGTTTGTCTGCAGGTGATTCTCATCACTATGGTTTGCGAGGGTGCATGTTGTGGTGTGGTGCCCTGCAGAGGCAGTGCAGCAGCAAAGCCTGGATTGCAGAGGTGATCCACTATGCGCCCTGCTGGATTGCAGATCTACGAATTAGATTCGCGTGCCATGGAAAATCTCATGGCGCTTCGAGATGAATTTTTGTTCAGCATCTCTTATTGTATAAGTGGTATAATAGTATATCGCATTATCAATCTTCACTCGTCATTACTTTGTAACGCATCATCTGTATAGCCGTACGGAATGATCAAACGTTCCAGAAGCAGCATTCACGCGAGTGTCGATCCAGGAAGTGAATCCAGCCAGTCCTGCAGCATTCTGTCCGCATACCACGCACTCTCCCGACGCCGAGTCGCCTTCTCCCTCGTTCCTCGCTCCCCCCTCCCTCCTCGCGCTCCACGCTCCTTGCCCCTTGCTCCTTCTCTCGCCGCGCCGCATGGCGCGTGCCAATCGCGCATCGCCGCCTCCTTCCGCCATCCTGCGCTCGTCGGCGCGCCGCGTGCGCCTGATATTGCTCGTCGCCCTCCTCGCCTCCTCCGCAGCTTCCGCGTCGCATCCATCCGACGGCAGCGATGCCAATGACGCCTCGCGCTCGAGCATTGCCGCCGCCGCCGCCGCAGCAGCCGCCGCGGATGGCAGCATGGCGGACGCGGGAATGGGATTAGGGATAGCGGATCGGTTTGTGTCTACTGAGGATCTCCCGGCGGCGAATGCGGCGACAGATGCGGCGACCAATGCGGCGAGAGATGCGGCGACTGACGCGGCGGGGCAGGCGAAGTTTGATCCGAAACTGGCGGGAGTCGAGGAGGAGGAGCGATTGGTGGACGAGCTGCTGACGTGGCTGGAGGAGAGAGGCGTGACTGGGATCCGAGGGGAGGAGGCTGCTGTGGAGGTGAGGCGATGGGGGCTGTGTGGGTGATTGCCCTGACTCAGAAATTTGGTAATCTGGAGAGAATGATGAATTCTCATGAACGCGATGAGCGGATGTGTGGAGTGGTGGAGGCTGGGAAGAGGTGGTGCAGTGAGGTACTGGAGAGGGGCGTGTGCTCATTCCACCTCTGCTGCTTGCAAGCGTGCCGATTTCCTGCCACACCCTCTTCGCGCCTTCCACTCGCCACAACTCATGAACATTTCTGCTCTCTTCTCCCCTGCCGCCCTTACCCTTGCCGGCCTTGCTGCACGCGTGCAGGTATTTATAAACGCCAACACCACTCTCAAGGCGTCCGGCAGGTCAAGGTGAGTCAACGCCAGTCAACGCACGTCAAGGTGAGCGAGTGGGAGAAACACACAGACCAAACAAGCAAGCGTTGATTCAAAGGTGGGAAAGGCGGCTGGTTGCAGTCGTGGATTTCCAGTTAACGCCTGGCGTGTCATCCTGTTTCCCCATGCTGCGCATTGCCGTCCTCTGCATCACATGTCAGCCGGCCACTTGTTCCCAAATCAGTTCCCTCCTCTCCCATCATCTCATCTCATCTCATCTCATCTCATCTCATCTCATCTCATCTCATCTCATCTCATCTCATCTCATCTCATCTCATCTCATCTCATCTCATCTCATCTCATCTCATCTCATCTCATCACATCTCATCTCATCTCATCTCATCTCATCTCATCTCATCTCATCTCATCTCATCTCATCTCATCTCATCTCATCTCATCTCATCTCATCTCATCTCATCTCACCATCCTCCCGTTTTCCCCTCCGCCCCCTCCTCCCCCTTCTTCCCGCTCCTCCCTCTTTCCCCTTCCTTCCCCCCCGCCCCACCGTCAGGGCGAATCTGGGCATGGTGGCGCGGCGCCCCATCGCGGAGGGCGAGGTGTTTCTGTCGCTGCCTCGCTCGCTCGCCATCTCGGCCCTTCAAGCGCAGGAGGAGGCAAAGCCGTACGAGGGGGAGGTGAGAGGGCTTTTTCTCACCGTGTTGGGCGAGAAGCCTCGTCTCTGACAGCCTCTGTGGTGACCAACCGAATGTACGAGGGAGAGGTGAGAGGCTGAGGAGTGTGGGAACGAGCAGCCTCCTCTCTGACAGCCTCCTTGGTGACCCATCACAGTAGCTTCTTTCCCCCGCAACTCTTGATCCCATCCCTGTCTGCACCCCTATCCGCATACCCGACACATGCATGCGCCCTTCACCGTAGTACCATACCACCCTCTTTCCCCCCCCCCCCCCACAGGTGCATCCATTCACGGCGCTGGCGGCGTGGGTGCTGAGGGAGCGGGGCAAGGGGCGCGCGTCCGTGTGGGCGCCCTTGGTGCGCCTGCTGCCCGCCCACCTGCCCTTCCCCCACCTCTTCCGCGATGAGCTGGTGCCCGAGCTGCAGTATGACGTCATGCTGGCTGAGGTGAGGGCGGGGCAGTGAGGGGCTGGATGGCTGTGTGACAGCGTGGGGGAATGTGGATGGCTGTGAATGTGACCTCCGGTCAGTGACCTCCAGTCAGTGGGCTCCAGTCAGTGAGCTCCAGTCAGTGAGCTCCAGTCAGTGAGCTCCAGTCAGTGAGCTCCAGTCAGTGAGCTCCAGTCAGTGAGCTCCAGTCAGTGAGCACCGGCACATGAGCAGCAGCACGTGCGGCAGCGCGAGTGCATGACAGCGCTAGTGCGCAAGTGAGCACCAGCGCGTGAGCACCAGCCCGGGATAGGAGTATGGCCGCATTGGTGTGAGAGGGGGGTCCTCCTGCTGCTCCAATGCACATGCCACAATCAACCTCACATCCTGCGCTGCCGAGGTACCTCTAGATCTTCCCCTGCTCTGCCTCCCCTGCCCTGTCTCCCATCCCATGCCATCTCCTCTTTCCCTCTCCCGTGCTGCGCACAGGTCACGGAGCACAAGAAGGCGCTCCTGCAAGAGTACAACAAGTGCCGCCCAGAGGCCATCGCCAACGCCACCCAGGAGGAATTCTTCTGGGCGGCAGGGATCGTCACTTCCCGCATGTTTGCGTTGAGGCCTGCTGAAGCAGCAGAGCGAGAGGACAAGGGGAAGGAGGGGGAGGGGCAGGGCGAGGAGGAGCGGCAGGAGGCGGACATATCGCTGATGCCGTATGGGGACCTCTTTGACACTGATGACGTGCCCATCGCCATCTGGCAGGTCAGTATTTTGCCACGTGGCAGCCATCCAGTCTTGAGGGCATTCGTGCAGCCACACCTCACGCCTCCCTCTCCACCCCCTCTTCCCCTCTCTCCCAACCTCTTTAACCCCACCAGGACACGGGCAGCAGCATACAGTTCACAGCGTTAACGGACATACCAGCGGGGCAGCACGTAGCGGTGCACTACGGGGAGCTGAGCAACGACGAGGCGCTGGTGATGCGCGGCATGGTGCTGGGCGGCAACTACCGCGACCACGTGCACCTCTTCTCCTCGCCGCAGGACGCCCTTCGCTTCCACGTCGACAAGTTCCTGCGCGGCTATGGCCACACGCTGGAGCGGGTGAGTAGACGGCGGTGGGGGGAAGGGGGCTGCTGCTTGTGTGGGTTGTTGCATGTGTGGAGGTGGGCGCGTGGTGCTGCTGTGAGGGCAGAAAGACTCACTCGTGGAAGATGGATGGTGCTGCCAGCTGTGACTCGTGTGCACTCATTGCATCCACTGCACCAGCTGCACCCCTGCCTTGAGAGGTCTGCCAAGGCGGACCGGCTTGACCTTCTTTCCATGCTGCTCTCCTGAGCACCACTCGTTTCACAAACTCAATTCCCAAGCGTATCTCTCCCCACGCGTCCCACAGACGCCCCTGCAGGGCACGTTTGAGCGCGTGGAGGCAGAGCTGCAGAAGCAGGCGGCAGCACCGCAGTACGAGGGTGTGGCGCAGCGCTATGAGTACCGCATGGCACCCGGCAGCCCCCTGTCCGCGTGGTTCGGCGGGCGGTTTGACCCGCGCCTGCTGGGCATCTTCACTGCGCTGCACGCCCTCGTCGTCAACAACCGCAGTGCGTGCTCTCCCTGCCTTCCATTCCCTCCATGCCCCTCCCTGCCCTCCATGCCCCTCCCTGCCCTCCCTGCCTTCCCTGCCCTCCATGCCCCTCCCTGCCCTCCATGCCCTCTCTCCCTCTCTTCTGCCTGCTGGGCATCTTCACGGCGCTGCACGGCCTTGTCAAACCTAATTTCCAGCCTGACGTCAAACCTAATCTCCAACCTGACGTCAAACCTGATCTCCAGCCTGACGTCAAACCTAATCTCCAACCTGACGTCAAACCTGATCTCCAACCTGACGTCAAACCTGATCTTTAACCTGACGTCAAACCTGATCTCCAACCTGATGTCAAACCCGATCTCCAACCTGACGTCAAACCTGATCTCCAACCTGACGTCAAACCTGATCTCCAGCCTGACGTCAAACCCGATCTCCAACCTGACGTCAAACCTGATCTCCAACCTGACGTCAAACCTGATCCCCAACCTGATGTCAAACCCGATCTTTAACCTGACGTCAAACCTGATCTCCAACCTGACGTCAAACCTGATCTCCAACCTGACGTCAAACCTGATCTCCAACCTGATGTCCAACCCGATCTTTAACCTGACGTCAAACCTGATCTCCAACCTGACGTCAAACCTGATCTCCAACCTGACGTCAAACCCGATCTTTAACCTGACGTCAAACCTGATCTCCAACCTTACGTCAAACCTGATCTCCAACCTGACGTCAGACCTGATCTCCAACCTGACGTCAAACCTGATCTCCAACCTGACGTCAAACCTGATCTCCGACCTGATGTCAAACCTGATCTCCAACCTGACGTCAAACCTGATCTCCAACCTGACGTCAAACCGGATCTCCAACCTGACGTCAAACCGGATCTCCAACCCGATGTCAAACCTGATCTCCAACCTGATGTCAAACCTGATCTCCAACCTGACGTCAAACCTGATCTCCAACCTGATGTCAAACCTGATCTCCAACCTGACGTCAAACCTGATCTCCAACCTGATGTCAAACCTGATCTCCAACCTGACGTCAAACCTGATCTCCAACCTGATGTCAAACCTGATCTCCAACCTGATGTCAAACCTGAACTCCAACCTGATGTCAAACTGGATCTCCAAACCGGATCTCCAACCTGACGTCAAACCTGATCTCCAACCTGACGTCAAACCTGATCTCCAACCTGACGTCAAACCTGATCTCCAACCTGACGTCAAACCTGATCTTTAACCTGATGTCAAACCTGATCTCCAGCCTGACGTCAAACCCGATCTCCAACCTGTCGTCAAACCTGATCTCCAACCTGACGTCAAACCTGATCTCCAACCTGACGTCAAACCGGATCTCCAACCTGACGTCAAACCGGATCGCCAACCTGATGTCAAACCTGATCTCCAACCTGACGTCAAACCTGATCTCCAACCTGACGTCAAATCTGATCTCCAACCTGACGTCAGTCCTGATCTCCAACCTGACGTCAAACCTGATCCCCAACCTGACGTCAAACCTGATCTCCAACCTGAAGTCAAACCCGATCTCCAACCCGACGTCAAACCTGATCTCCAACCTGACGTCAAACCTGATCTCCAACCTGACGTCAAACCTGATCTCCAACCTGACGTCAAACTTGATCTCCAACCTGACGTCAAACCTGATCTCCAACCCGACGTCAAACCCGATCTCCAACCTGAAGTCAAACCTGATCTCCAACCTGATGTCAAACTGGATCTCCAAACCGGATCTCCAACCTGACGTCAAACCTGATCTCCAACCTGACGTCAAACCTGATCTCCAACCTGACGTCAAACCTGATCTCCAACCTGACGTCAAACCTGATCTCCAACCTGACGTCAAACCTGAGCTTTAACCTGATGTCAAACCTGATTTCCAGCCTGACGTCAAACCCGATCTCCAACCTGTCGTCAAACCTGATCTCCAACCTGACGTCAAACCTGATCTCCAACCTGACGTCAAACCGGATCTCCAACCTGACGTCAAACCTGATCTCCAACCTGACGTCAAATCTGATCTCCAACCTGACGTCAGTCCTGATCTCCAACCTGACGTCAAACCTGATCTCCAACCTGACGTCAAACCTGATCTCCAACCTGACATCAAACCTGATCTCCAACCTGACGTCTAACCTGATCTCCAACCTGACGTCAAACCGAATCTCCAACCTGACGTCAAACCGAATCTCCAACCTAACGTCAAACCGAATCTCCCTGCCCTTCCCCCCTCTATCCTCCCACGCATTCCTCCCTCCTCTTTCTCATTGGCTGATCTGCCTTCCCTTGAACACCCCTCTGCCTGCATGCCAAGTCCCTTGCTCTTGTCTTGCCTGCTCATATCAGTCAGGTGAACCGCAATCAACTTTCAAAACAACATTCTGTTCTATCATTTCTCCCTCTGTCCCTCCTCCCACTTTTCCTGTTCCATGGGAGCAGAGCCGGATCTGAGCCAGGTGGCACAGGTGTCGCTGCTGTACGGGTGGATGAAGGACCCCAAGACCACCTGCGATGACCTGGCGCGCCTCGTGGACGATGACGTGTCGGACGCGGTGCCGCCAGCTGGCAACTTGCTGGTGGAGCGAGGGCAGCAGCTGCTCAAGGAGTTCCCCACCACCCTGGGGGAGGACCTGCACCTGTGGCGCCAGGTCAATGTGTGCAAGGCGCGGGTGCTGTTCGGTGCGGTGGAGGGCGGTGAGCGGGGTGATACGGGTGATGGGGAGGGTGCGGATGCGGTGCAGTGCGGTGCGGAGTATGTGAGGGAACTGGGCGAGTGGGAGGTGATTCTTCGGTATCGTATGATGAAGAAGTACATTCTCAGGCACCTTGTGGGCCGCCTCCTGCACACCTGTGAAAACTAACAACCTTGCCATGGCCTCGTGTATCATGCTGCAGTTGATTGGTGCATGTTCCTGTCAAATAATTTGGTACACATTTGCTGTTCAAGCATCTTATGGGATGGACTTGCTGCTCATTATGAGCTAGTGCTGTTGAGTCAAGCCGCAATGCGTTTGGCATGTGAGAGCAGAGTTGTGAAGTGGGCAGGGACAGTGGAGCAGAGTAAGGCAGTGGCTGACAGGAGTGGAGGATTCATTTTCATGGGAGGAGAGGCAGGCTATTGAGCCACACTAGACAGGGTGTGCAATACTTGTGTCATGTATGTGATGTGAAGGCTAACAAAACATTAAAAGGATGGTCAAAATTTACACAGATTTAGACAGGATGCTACCCCTGTGACTCCAACCAGCTAGTCCCTCCCTCCGCGCATCGCCTCTCCCCGCACCAGCCGCTGCAGCATTGGTGAGCGCGTCTCACAGCGCCTTGAGAATGTCTTCGGCGCTGCTGTTGGTGAACGCGCCGCCCTCCTCCAGGTTGAGCACGGTCACGACGCCGTCGTCCGCCAGGAGCGCGTACCGCCGCGACCGCACGCCCAGCCCCTTGTCCGCCAGATCCAGGCTCGCGCCCAGCGCCGCCGTGTACACGCCGCTGCCGTCCGCGAGCAGCAGCACCTTGCCGGCGGCGTTGACGGATTCGCCCCAGGCGCGCATGACAAAGGGGTCGTTGACGGAGACGCAGGCGATGGTGTCGACGCCCTTGGCGCGCAGCTCGTCCGCCTTGGCGATGAACCCCGGCAGGTGCTTCTGCGAACACGTGGGCGTGAACGCGCCCGGCACCGCGAACAGCACCACCTTCTTGCCCTGCGCGGAGGGGGGAGGGGAAGGGGGAGGGGAAGGGGGAGCGGGAAATTGGGGAAAGGGGTGTGAGGGTGGGTGCAAAGAAGGAAGTGGGGCGGGAATTCGACGCGGATGGGGGGGAACGACGAGGGCGGATTGTGGTTCGCAAAGGTTGGAGTGAGGCGTGACGCGATGGACGCGAGTGAGATGATTGAGCAGCCATTGCGTTCGTGCACGCATTAATGCTCATGCGTTGGAGCATTGTCACAGTTCCCGATGAATTGTGGGCTCGACGACGAGGTGACTCGACGACGCAGCTGCGACACTCATGCGCCCGTTCAATCTCAATTCCATCGCAACATAAATCCAACACCGAGGATGCGGTATCCGCGTTATACACACCTTGGTGAGTGACTCGATAGTGATGGTCTGAAGCGCGCCCTCAGCGTCGAAGTAGGAGAGGCTGCCGTCGGGCAGCTTGTCGCCGACCTTGATCGTCGCAACGGTCGCCATGTGTCGCCGAGTCGTCTGACCGTGAGCAGGCGTCGCAGAGCGTCGGACGTCGCGGAGGCGAGCGCCGGAGAATCCGACGGCTGGGGTACCCTGCTTGAAGGAGGCAGCGGCTGTGTGGAGGGCGGAGGAGCGCGAGATACGCGCGGCACACGCGGCACCGGTCAGTCGCAGGGCAGAGGACAAGGTGGCGGCAGCCATAGCTGAACGAGGGATGAAGTGAGCGGAGCGAGGCGAAGAAGGGGAGGCGACTGACCTGAGGAGTGAGGAACGGAGATCTTGAATGGAGCGAACGGAATGTCGGGAAAATCAAGAATGGCTCCAGATATGGATGAAATTGTGCTGGTGCATTGCTCTCGGCTTGGGTGCGAATGAACGAAATGTGACGAAGGAACCGAGGCAGGCATGTCCTGCTTGCCCACATGGTCGGATTCAGGAACTCGTTCATTCAAAAGCTGACGTGTTAGTGCCACGCTGTCGCTGCCTGTATGGCAGCAACTGAGGCTTGCCGCGTGGCTCCATGTGACAGAGATACCAGTTCAATGTACACGTGTCTGAGCAATCGATGCCGAAAGGAGCGGGTGCGTGAAGCTTGTGAAGACATAATACTCGGTAAAAGGAACGCATGTAAACAGAAACACAGTTTGTAGATGAAGATACTCGATATACAGCTGGCAAGAAATTGCACATACTGCATTCACCTTACATGCTAGACCTAGCCTACTGTACACAATCTAATAGTCATTGTGACCCTAAGAACTCCATCAGCGTTTGGACATATTGCTCCGAATGAGTCTGAAGCACCTCATTGCCGGCTGAATTTATGTGGTAGTACTTTCCCTTGCCCATCCTTGACGCTGCCATCATTGTCTCAAACTGGAATGGGTCGTCACAGCCCGCCAGGCACAGCACGGGCTGTTGCACCTTGTCCAGCAGATCCCCGTGGTCCACTGCTGCATGCGCCTTGGCGAGCAAGTGGCGCGTGGGCAGTGACTGAAGGCACTCCATCACCTCTTCAACCTGAGGGGTGGAGAGGTCATGGGAGAACAAAAAAATGCATGACAACACATGAGCACACAATCAGGCGACGCAAGAAAAAGAGCAGGAAAAAGGTTGTGCAGAAAATGTTTCGGGTCGTTTATAGGCGAGGGGAGGGGACTAACGAGTTGATGAAGAGGCACATGGTGGGCTGTACTGCGCATCAGCATCTGCTGCACTGCCACCGCCACCACGCTCTGAGGAGCAGCAGCCGCTGCACCATCGCCATCCCCATCCCCCGCGCTTATTGCCTGCACGGCAGCTGCGAGGTGCTTGGAGCGCTCGTCCTGCGGCATGACGCCCCACAGCCCCACCCGCCTCACCCTCGCGGGGAACACGGCCGCCATCTGCAGCGCCAAGCTCGCTCCGAATCCATGGCCCACCTGCAGCATGGAGAGGAGCCGGGGGATTGCGAGGCATGGATGGCGCGCGGGAAGGACAAAAGATGGGGGACTGGGTGAGGAGGCGAACGGACGATGTTAAGGCCAGGTGCACTTTGTATGGACGAAAAAAAAAAAAACAAAAACAAAAAAAAAAACAAAAAAAACAGCGAATGACGAGCAGATGTGCTGCAGGGAGCAGGGAATCGTGCGATGAGAGAGCACCCACAAGGTCGAAGCGTTGAGTGAAGCCGACGTTGATGGCGGCGGCGACGGCGATGGCGCCCATCTCCAGCATGCTGTAGTCGCGACAAGCCGCCGTCGTCTCGCCGCACCCCGGCAGATCCACGGCCAGCGCGCAACACCCGCGCGCCGCCAGCAGCGGCAGCACAGGCGCCCACATGGCAGACGAACGTCCAGCGTCGTGCAACAGCACCACCGGATGGCCCGACCCGCACCTGCACGGATCACAGGCACGAACCGCCGACACGATGGTATGAGACCCACGCTCTTATAGGGGACAGAAATATTTTGCAAACGTCAGTTATCTCGCGAGAATGGCGTACCTGCGGTAGTGAACCTGGCCGCGCGGTGTTGTCGCATACCCCTTGACGACTGCCGCTGCCTCCGCGCCTCCCACGGGCTGTTCACCCTCCGACTGACTCGCTGCCTGCACCGCTTCTCGTTGCCGCGCGCCGTCCGGAGTCGCAGGCTCGCTGGAGCACCTTAATCGCTCGTTGTCGCCCGTTCTAACGCCGACCCTCACGCTGCTGCGTTGCGAATCCATGCTACTACCCGCAGACTCACTCCGCCCTAGTAAAGCCTGATGGTTAGCGGGAACCAGATGGGTTGAAAGGAAATCCCCGGCACAGCTGCCGCTGTCATCCCGCTCGCTGTCCGCGCGCGGCCGTTTCGACACCCTACGGTCATCCGACGCTTCCCGGGAGTGACTCCGCGCCGAGGCACGCGCGGACGGCGAAACATCCAAAATCCCGCGGTCGCAGGGAGTGAGGGATGTCCGAGAGGCGGTGATGACTTGATCCATGGAGGACGCGGAGCAGCTGCCACTCTTGGACTCGGGGAAGGGCAATGCAAATCACGGATTCCGACTGCACAAGCTTGGGATAAGAATTCAGATTTGGAAGGCAAACATGGTTGCGTGACGAGGAGGTTCGCAAGTGTGACGACGCCAGTGTTTGGAAGCTGGAAGAGTGTGAATTGCAGAGATTAGGGCGGTGGAGGTGCTGCAGCAACAAGGTCTCGAATGTAGGTAGGGTTCATGCAGGTTGAATAGCTCACATGCCATCTCAGGCTGTTCTAATCTGATGGCAATCAGTGAGACACAACTCTCTCTGCCCAACTGCTGCAATGAAAAGCGTGGTGCGCTGTCGCGTGCCTTCATTGCGCGTGCAGCACTCTGCTGCTCTATGTGGCTGGGATGAAGGGAAGAGGCGCAGCAAGTGGCTGGCGAGGGGTCACTCAACTCAACACAACCTCCAATTTCCCTGGTGGGAGTGGCTGATTTAAGTTTGTCCCAGGAACCATCCAGACGGTTCCCCATACTTCTGCGAGTGTGTCCGATTAGGAAGGAATGATGTGGAAATACGAAGCTTTGCCACACAAACTGGGGTTCTCTAAGGGTCAGTCTGAATAAAATTCTATCGCATGTACTTGGGCTCTAGAAGTGTGTCTCTCACTACCGCCCATGGCCACTGAAACTACAGGCAAAATGACATTCTGTGAAAATAACCCCATTAAACACGATACCCTTGACGGAACCACCTCCCGTCAAACTTCAGTGTTGCCGTCGGGACACACGAGCGTGAAATAAGGAAAAGCCAAAGCACTCTCGTCTGTCGTTCATGTGGAAATGATGAAACAGATTCACGAGATGAGCACGCGTGCCGACACTCTTGAACGCGTGTGTGGTGGGTGGTGGTGGGGGGTGGGCCAACTGTAAATTTCTCCCTTGCACAGTTCCGGTGTGAATAACCTGCCTTTACGGCCTGTGTCTGTGGGTTAGCCAAACACGGTGCGACTACAGTAAAGCTTAATTAGAGCGGCACATTTTATGTTCAATGTTCAGTCTGAAGATATTGAAGTTGCAAGCACCTTTCAACAGATACAGGTTGTTAGGACGTGGGCCCAATCGAGTTTGATCGCCTCGACGACACTCAATCAAGAACTTCCAGGAAGCCTGGAAGCCAATTTCAGGCAATCGGGGGCAATCAGCTGATCGCGATCAACTGATCGCTCCAACTCAATCAGGCCCAATTCTCATCCCGATCAGAGCCGATTTCCCTCGATCACAGGCGATCACCTGATTGCTTGGGATCGGGCCCCCCAGCGATGCTTGCGACTAGTTACACCGTTTCCTTTACAGGGAAATGAAGATAATCGCCAGGTGACGTCTGGTCGCCAATCTCGCTAGAATGGGGACGAAAATGCCAGGCAGATGTATCGCGCTTGCTGAGCAGGCGCTGACGACCTTCTTAAAAAAACATTACTGATCGGGCGGCTCGGGCACTGCGATCACAAGCAACCCGATCAGATCCAACCCGATCAGATCAGTCGCGATCAAACTCAATTGGGCCCACGTCCTTATCTGTAGCACCCTAAATCGCCCAATGGTACACCCTGTTTCGCGCCACACTGACATTCGATGTATTGACATGCCGCCAAATCTGACATCAACGCGTCCAAAACGGTCCCAGAACATTGCATATAAGCACAATTTGCCGCACTCAACCGTACGTGATAGCAATGTTCTGTCATAAAACGTTTTGTATCGTTCAAATGGACTGCATTTGCCCGCCACCCACCTGGGGTTCGGCTGCAAGCACCAGCCCGCAAAATCTAAGCGCACGTTCGCACTGTAGCCGGGCTCCTGATTGTCAGAACGTTGAGAAACAGGGTGTATCCCGAAACGTAAATTAGGCCCTGATTCGGGAATTACCTTCGGTTTTCTAGGTCACGCTTCATACACAGTTATGTACAGTTCATTGCATGAAGGATTGCGTAGTTTGGAAGAACGGGTTTCACATGCACGTAAGAAGAGAGGGTAGAGCCTGAGCAGGAGAGAGTGAACGGCAATGGGAGGGGTAGTGAGCCCAACGGGCGGGAAGCGAGTGCGACTGGCGGGGAAGCGAGTGCGACGAGCGGGGGAAGCGAGAGCGACGGGCGGGGGAAGCGAGTGCGACGGGCGGGGAGTGCGACGAGCGGGGGAAGCGAGTGCGACGGGCGGGAAGCGAGTGCGACTGGCGGAGAAGCGAGTGCGACTGGCGGGGAGTGCGACGAGCGGGGGAAGCGAGAGCGACGGGCGGGGGAAGCGAGTGCGACGGGCGGGGGAAGCGAGTGCGACAGGCGGGGGAAGCGAGAGCGAGGGGCAGGGGAAGGGAAGGCGCCGGGCGGGAGTAGCGAAGGCGACGGGCGGGAAATGCGACGGGGGAGGGGAAGTAAAGGCGACGGGGGAGTTGAAGTGAAGGCGACGGGGGAGGGGAAGTGAAGGCGACGGGGGAGGGGAAGTGAAGGCGACGGGGGAGGGGAAGTGAAGGCGACAGGCGTGGAAAGCGAGGGCGACGGGCGGAGCGAAGGCGACGGGCTGGGGTCGCGAAGGCATCGGAATGAGGTCTTGAAGGCGACGAGCTGGGAAAGCGATGGCGAATGAGATCGCCCTCGTGGGACCTTGGGAACGGAAAGCGACGGCGAGGAGAGGTTCACGCTTGGGCGAAGGGTCACGAAGGTGTGCAAGGCCTCAGTAGGTGCAGTACCAGAGAGAGCAGACTCACCAGCACCTGGAGCAGCAGACTCACTAGCACCTGGAGCAGCAGACTCACTAGCACCTAGAGCAGCAGCCTCAATGCCCGGGTCGGGCGGAACACACAGGTAACAGTCACCCTCAGCACTATCAGTCACAGCATACATGGCAGCAAGGATAGCATCGAAATCAAGATCAAAGATAGCAACATTCTGCTTAAGCAGATCACCCCAGCGAGGGAGCTCAGCGGCGTCAGGAAACTGGGCGCGCCAGGCGTCAGTCAGGCGACCGAAGCAGCGCTGTGAAGTGTGGGGCAGTCCGCACGTCTCCCCACGGCGCCCGCCGGTGCGAAGAACTTAAGTACAGGGACCAGCCCCCACAGACCTCCCACGCCCAGCGTACCACTCACGAAGCTGCTGGGGCGACAGGGTCTCACGGGAACGCGGCTGCTGCTGGCGCTGGCTACCGCCAAAGCCTCCACGCTGCGCGGCTCCACCTCGACCAGCACCACCGCCGCCGCCACCTCCACTGCCGCTGCCGCTGCCTCCACCGCCGCTGCCGCTGCCTCCACTACCCCCACCGCCGCCACCGACGCCCCAACTCCCGCCACCACCCCCACCTCCACCGTCACCCCCTCCGCCTCCTCCACCGCCTCCACCGCCGCCCCCACCGTCCCCTCCACCACCCTTGCCCCCCTTGCCCTTGCCGTAGCGGCGCCTCCCACTAGGGGCAGACGCAGCCCCGACCTCCTCAATGCCAACGAGGTCGACAGCAGCAGCAGAAGCAACGGAGGGGAGAAGGGGGACGGGGGAACACCCCTCAAAGAAAGGGGCGCGAGGGTCGCCGCGAGAAGCACCTACAGCAACGATACTCATCTCAGCTGCAGTGAGGCGCTCCTCTAGCAGGTCGACGGTGAGCTCGGTGGGGCAAAGGGAGAGAAAGTGGTCCCTGACTGAAGAAAGGGAGTCAGAGAGACGGGTGACTAGGTAGTAGAGGGTGATGTACATGGGGGGGGGGGTTCTTGGCACAGAACTCAGTGGGAAGCGCAGCGCGGTAGCGGGCGTCATTAGTGCAGAGGTGAGTAATGAGGTCAGCGACTGTGGCAAAGGCGGCTAGGTCAGGGAACAGGTACGGCAGCATGAGGCGGCTGCGGGCAGCAGTGGCAGGGGAGGAGTAGCGCGCTACTACAGCGTCGTACAAAGACTGAGCAGTCTTGTACTGGCCAAAGTGCGCGCGCTCAGCAGACGGCAGGTGACTACGAACAGCAAGACGAGCAACAGCGTCACGAGTAGTCCACTGCGAGCGAACCGTACTGTCAGCAGTGGCAGCAGGTGCAGGAGAGACACCGGACGTGTGATCGAAAAGGGAGACTCCGTCCTTAGAGTCGCACTGTAGAAAGAGCTGTAGGTCGTCTACCCAAACGTTGAAGTCAACCGCACGACCCTCAGCATCAAAGGTAAGAACATTGGGGCTAGCCATGGCGGCAGTAGCAGCAATAACAGCAGAAGCAGCAGTAGCAGCAGAAGCAGCGCGGGCAGGGCAGTGCGGCTCAGTAGGGCGGCGCGGCCCAGTAGGGCGGCGCGGCTCGGTAGGGCGGCGCGGCTCGGCAGGGCGGCGCAGCTCGGCTGGGCGGCGCGGCTCGGCTGGGCGGCGCGGCTCAGCTGGGCGGCGCGGGTGCTTACCAGGGGCGGGTGCAGGGCAGGGCCGCAGCTGGCGGTTTGGTCAGGGCCGCGACTGGGGCGGCTTGTAGGGCAGGGCCGCGACGAGGCGGCGGCAGAGCAGGGCCGCGACAGGGCGGCAGCAGGGCAAGGCCGCGACTGGGCGGCGGTAGAGCAGGGCCGCGACGAGCGGCTGAGGGCAGGGCCGCGACGGGTGGCGGCAGGGCAGAGGCCGCGACGGGCGGCGAGGTCAGGGCCGCGACGAGGGGCGACAGACCAGGGCCGCGACGGGCGGCGAGGTCAGGCCGCGACGCGCGGCAAGGCAGGGCCGCGGGTGGCGGCAGGGAAGGGCCGCGACGAGGCGGCGAGGTCAGGGCCGCGACGAGGCGGCGACAGGGCAGGGCCGCGACGAGCAGCTAGGTCAGGGCCGCGACGGGCGGCAGGGCAGGGCCGCGACGGGCGACAGAGCAGGGCTGCGACGGGCCGAGAAGGCAGGGCCGCGACGGGCGGCACTAGAGCAGGGCGCGCGACGGCGCAGGTGAGGCAGGCGCGAGGCGCGTTTCGGGCAGGGCAGGAAAAAAAAAATCGTGGTGGGCCCTTTAAAAAACGTTCCCACTAGGGAACCTGCTCTGAAACCATGTCAGCAATGAGAAGGAACGAATGATTGAATTAGCAAGCAGGTGGGTACAAGTAGGAAAAACCTAAAAGTGTTGTACCCCATATTGACTACCCCACTACAGCCTACACAGACTATGTCATATAAGTTTGACAGACTGGAGAAGAGGAGAGGAGAGGAGAGGAGAGGCGGCTGGAGGAGGGGATGGACGCAGCCATTGGTGCTGCCGGCTGTCTCCCGCCACTTCCTCACCCTCCCCCCCACAGCAGCACGCGCTGCAGTGTGTGAGAGAGAGGAGAGGCAGCGTGTGAGGAGTTGCTGGTCACCCCCGCCACCCCCTCATCTCCCCCCCCCCCCCTTCCACGGCGGAAGCTGCGGAAGGGAGGAAGGGGGGGGAGGCGGCGTACGCTGCTGCTGGCGCTGGCGTCCGTGCTGGAGCTGGGCGCTGGCGGCCGCTGCTGGCGCACGCGCAGGCGCAGGTCGCTGGCGCTGGCGCTGACGCTGGCGTTGGCGCACGCGACCGTACGCGGCTGCGCGCGGCCGTACGCGGCTGGGCGCGGCCGTACGCTGCTGCGCGCGGCCGTACGCGGCTGCGCGCGGCCGTACGCGGCTGTGGCGAGGAGTAGGTGAAGCCGAAGCGCTAAAGGACCTGCTGCACCATGTGTGACTGAGTCAAGGTAATGGTGCGCTGTGCTCTGTCCCGGGTGATCCGCAAGCCAAGATAGCTTGTGAGCTCACCCAGGTCTGTGCACGTGTGTCTCTTCTGCAGCTCGGACTTCACGTGGGCGAGTGCCTCCGTGCCAGCAGTAGCAAAGACAAGGTCGTCTACGTACACAAGAACGTAGAACGGCGGCAGAGTAGCGTCAGTGCGTAGAAACAGAGAAGGGTCAGCAGTGGAAGGAGCAAAACCAAGAGCAGCAAGAGTCGTCCTAAGCGTGTCGTGCCACTCACGGGGCGCCTGGCGGAGACCGTAGACTGGCCGCCGGAGGCTCCACTGGGTACCAGCAGGAAACGACCCAGTGAAGCCAGGTGGGCGGCGCAGCCAGATCTCCTCGTGCAGGCTGCCCTGTAGGAAGGATGTGCTGAAGTCAAGCGAGTGGAGCTCGTAGTCACGCTGAGCAGCAACGTGCAGCAGTACCCGAAGAGTGGTCATCTTCGGGGTAGGGGAGAAGGTCTGAAAGAAGTCAACTCCCTGTCGCTGACTGAAGCCACGTGCAACGTAACGCGCCTTGAAGGCAGGCGGAGAACCCGGCGGCCGCTTCACCCTGAAGATCCACATGCCACTGACGATGTTCGCCCCAGGTGGGGGAACCTCGTCTACGTAGGTGCCTGTGGACTTCCAGGAAGCCATCTCTGCGTCCATGGCTGCCTGCCACTGAGAGGAGTAGGGACCCTCTATCGCCTCTGCGTAAGAGCGCGGGGTCGGGATGTCTAGTGCATCCGGGTCTCCCTCAGGGGCAAGCAGCATGGACACGAGATGAGGTGAAGCAGCGGCAAAGCACTCAAGGTCCTCCTGCCTGTCCTCAAGGACGTCCGTGCCAAGAGCACACTCACCCCCGACGGACGAAGGACAGACAGACACAGACGCAGACTCAGCAACAAGACTAGCGGCGTAGTCTAGGCGACAGGCTGCAGCAAAGTCAACAAGCTCAGCAACAAGAGCAGACGCAGCAGAGAACTCAAACAGGGGGTCAGTCACAGGAGTGGCCAGAAAGCGCGTGACAGTAGGACTAGCAGCACGAAGGGGTTTCACCCTTTGAACTCCTGAAAGCAAGCTATTATTCAAACGATCTAACTTCGGACTTAAAATCCTTTTTTTTTTTAAGCATATTCTTCCACCCTCTGTTGGCTTATTGTCATCACTTCCAAGAGCATACATCAGTTTTTTTGCTCTTCCATGCACACACCCTCATCACACATGCACCACACCTGCACAACTCCGATCTACCCACTCCACTCCCTCAATGCCTCAGCCAGCTCCTATTTGTGTAAATTCAGCTCAAAGGGTTTGAATGAACCTCATAATCCGATCATCCATCTTCATGTCCTCCTCCTTCATGGCGCGCGCAGCATAATCTGGCCTCATCAGCGCAACCGGCTTGTTGTTCCGCCTCTCCCCCTCCCCCTTCCAGTGAAACATTCGACCAACAATGCGGTACCACGTGAGGGACGGGAAATCTAGGGGCAGAGAATCTCAAAGTTAGCGAACAACGGAATGATTGGAATAGAAACGAATGGGGTACAAATGAGCAACCCTAGAAGCTGTACCCCCTAGAGTGCAACTCACTATAGCCTATCTGTCAAATGTTGAACATTGATATGATAGGCTATAGTGAGTTGCACTCTAGGGGGTACAGCTTCTAGGGTTGCTCATTTGTACCCCATTCGTTTCTATTCCAATCATTCCGTTGTTCGCTAACTTTGAGATGGTATCATGAGTAGGTGTCGATCCTCTCGCCTAGCCTAGCCTAGCTCGCGCCCTAGCGCCCTCCGCGCCCTTGCGCCCTAGCACACTCCGCGCCCTCCGCGCCCTCCGCGCCCTTGCGCCCTAGCACCCTCCGCGCCCTCCGCGCCCTCCGCGCCCTCCG